GGTGGTGATGTGTAGGCGAGAATGATAATGATTGGTTGTCTGCTTAGTCAGTTTAGTAGATAGTCTGACAGGAGTTAGATAAGTTATATATTCTCCTATTTTTTATTATTATTGTGATTGTGTTGAATTGTGTCGGCTTGTTGTCTATTTTTGGTTCGTTCTAGTCAGATTAATCACGTGTTCTTGATCTGAGTTGAGTTGAAGTCCTGTAGAATAGACACTGAGAGGGTATCTAGTACAGATATTCGTCTAAGGTAAATTAACGTCCCATTCGTAAAGATGAAGAGAATCCGAGCACTATAACATGAAGTGTCATTTAAAAAGCTATAGAGATTAATTTTATGAAGTTTTAAAAAAGCGTTTGTTTTATGGAACCAATTTAACCTGCTTCCTCGAGAGCAAGTAAACTTATGGTTGAGCAGTGTTGTGTATGTAATATCGTCAGACAGAAAATATTCTCTGAATAGCCTGTAATTGTTTTGAAATTTTATTTGCTAAAATAGTAGTCTATTGTAAAACAGAATGTCGTTGAATATTTAAAATCTTGAAGTGGTATCTTGCCATTGAAAAGATGTCATGTAATAATCGGCTAATGAAAAATGGTAAAGTGAAGATAGTAGTCCATTTAACATCTAGGACGAAGAGAATAATTAAAAGTTATAATAATAGCTAACTAGTAGTTGTGAAAATAATTTGAAAAGATTAGAAATAGTAATTGAAAAGATGATGTATTATAGAAGATAAAAAGGAATATTAAGACCATGGAAGTGTAAGGGAGTGAATATATTGTTTTTGTACACAAATTATTAAGTTTAAACTGATGGATATGTAGTGTTTGGATTAACTAATGATTCTTTTGTACTTGTTGAATGCTCGATTTCGAATTCCAAATACAATACATTCGTTTGTGCTTGTGTCTTACTTCTTAATTCAATTGCGTTATTTCTGGGACTTTTAGTTCGTACTATAATTCAAATAATTCAAACATTATATTGGCGTTGCGATGGAGCCTACGATGAAAAAGTTAGATATTCATTCAACTTCTGAAGCTTTTGAGGATTACTTTGAAAGGTTCGAAATCTGGGCTATGATCAAGGAACATGATGAGGATATTAATACTGTGGCACATTTCCTCACATTCATCGGGAAAGAAGCATACAGCTTATTAAGAACTCTGACTATGCCGGAAAAGCCTATCTCGCTTCCTTATACAACTCTCAATGAACTGCTGCTAGACTATGTTAATTATACAAATTTCGATTACGGTAAAAGGAGATTTCGTAAAATGATTCATGAGGATATAAAAAGCTCCACTACATTACGTCGTCCCAACCCAGTGCATACTCAGGGTTATGCAGACAATTCATTGAGGAGTTGCGATGCAGTTCACGAAGATGGGCACAAGTTTGGTCGGTGTTTGTCCTGTGACATCTTCCACTCCTTTAATTCATGTAAATTTCGTAATTCTAAGTGCTTTGCATGTGGTGATATTGGACATATTCAGTCAGTTTGTAATGCTAATGTTCATCTTGCTGCAACTAATATTAAGTCTTGTAATTCTGATTCTACTGAGTCGAGTATTCATGATGATCATTTATCTTTATCAACGATTTCAGAAGACAGTGCAGAGTCATATGGCAGTTCAGAGTTAAATGAAATTCAAAATTCTTGCGAGACAACAGTTCCTAATCAACCAACTTATTAGATTTCTCATGTTATTGTACCAAATATGGCTTTTCCTGATGATTCACATATTTCTGATGAAATTTCTTACAAATCTGAAGAAAATATGTTGAGTGAACATAATTATGATCGAAAACCTGATGTAGTCTTGATAGATGTTGATTTTTCTAATGATCCATTACTGTCCAATGACATTTTTAATAAATTTCATGAAAATATTTCAGAAGAATCAAATCCCGATGTCATATCATATATTACCTATACTCATAATGCATTTGTTTCTTGTGGGAAACTTGTTCACTGCGAAGCACAAGTATTAAATGAGCTCGAGTTTGATTACAATTCGGATGATTTCATATCAACTGCTGTTTGTCCTTATCACAAAAACACTTCTAATGTTTACTCTAAGCAATGTGAGTAATATGTTTTAAATGAAGCCACATTATTCATAACTTGGGGATATAAAGATCCAGCATTATTTCGTGGGGGAGGATAGTGTTGAAAAATCTATGGTTCGAATTCCAGATATTATTGATTTCATTACAAAACCGACATGCTGATTGTATGCGATTCCCGGTGAGTCTGTTCCGATTTCGTCTGTTAATTCTATTACTAATGAGTACATTCTAGATACTACAAAGTTTTTATCCAATACAATGTCGGACAGACTCAGGATTAACTTAAGAAGACGTACAACCGATTACAAACACTTATACTTCTATTTAAGCTGTGGCGGATGTGGTGTTTGAATTAACTAATGATTCTTTTGTACTTGTTGAATGCTCGATTTCGAATTCCAAATACAGTACATGCGTTTGTGCTTGTGTCTTACTTCTTAATTCAATTGCGTTATTTCTGGGACTCTTAGTTCGTACTATAATTCAAATAATTCGAAACATTATAGGATAAAAATAGCCTCTGGTTTACATCATTTTTCTCTTCGACACTACGGCGTGCCTCAGAAGATAGTCAATATCATACAGAACTCATATGATGGATTACATTGCAAAATCGTGCATGGAGGACAGTTGACAAAGTCGTTCAAAGTGAAGACCGGTGTTAGGCAAGGTTGCTTACTCTCACCCTTTCTCTTTCTCCTGGTGATCGACTGGATCATGAAGACGTCAACGTCTGAAGGAAAGCGCGGGATTTTCAATACAAATGTCAAGACAGTTCTACTGTATGGGGCAGAAACCTGGAGAACTACGAAAGCCATCATCCAGAAAATACAGGTGTTTATTAACAATTGTCTACGCAAAATACTTCAGATCCATTGGCCGGACACTATTAGCAACAACGTATTGTGGGAGAGAACAAACCAGATCCCAGTGGAGGAAGAAATCAGGAAGAAGCGCTGGAAGTGGATAGGACACACATTGAGGAAAGCACCCAACTGCGTCACAAGACAAGCCCTCACATGGAATCCTGAAGGTCAAAGGAAAAGAGGAAGACCAAAGAACACATTACGCCGAGAAATGGAGATAGACATGAGAAAAATGAACAAGAATTGGATGGAACTAGAAGGGAAGGCCCAGGACAGAGTGGGTTGGAGAATGCTGGTCAGCGGCGTATGCTCCATTGGGGGTAACAGGTGTAAGTAAGTATGTAAGTAAGTTACATCATTTTTCATTCGCATTCCTCTTGAGCCGATTTTTATGACTGCATGTATAATTTTGATGGAGGCTTCTGGTGAAATGGACCGATCCAAATTCACTAGATGCTACAATACTGAGCTTTTGAATGACTCCTGTAATTCTTTGGGAAGCTCCTGCGTTCAGTCAGATCAATGTGTCCATATGTACCAGATTATATTGGCCATAAAAAGTGAGGCTTTTCGAAAGGCACCTCCGACTATTATTGCGCCTACGTAACTATAAATACGATTGTACAGCTTAAGTTAAATCGTCAAAAATAAAATTTCATTCGCTGAGTTTACTTCATTTTCAATGACACAGTGGTTCAACTTCTGTATTTTTGAGTTAGTTTATTTTGTGAAGATTTAATAACTACAATGGTAATGTATCTGCCACAAAACAAAAGGGTTGGCAAATTTATTCTTGTTTGTTGCCGTGGTTCTGAACTCTCGAGTTATTTAAAATTAGTAGGAAACAATTTAACCATTTTCAATTCTTTTTTCAGTGGTTCCCTCGTTACTTCACTAATTCATGACAGTCTATATATTGAATCTTCGAATTTGTTTTTAAAAATTCCCTATAGCATCAATTTAAGTACCAACCGTTGTTGCAGTTTCAGTGTTTTAAATGTATTAATGGCATTCAGATTGATCAGAAAGAGTAGACTTCGTCTAATTTAATCAGTTTATTGTCATCTAACTGTTCTTAGATTCAAGATCTGGATGGACATACGTAAAATTCTTGTTTTACGACCATATTACTCATTAGTAACCAGTGTTCATTCCTTTTTTCTTGTACTTCATTGGTTAAATTAATAATCGATAAACTGCCTGTGCCCTTATTGGTTGAAATTCACTTTATTTATGTATGTATTTATACTAAAATAATTGAGGAACCATGAAAATGTTCCGACTCAGATCTAGGGTGCATGATCCAAGTAAATTCAACGGTTTATCTAGCGAATCTGATGACATATGTGCATGTATTAATTGAATAAGGATGATTAATTGAGTGTTTTGTATTAAGCTCACTTCCAACCAGTAGACTGTGTGTGATGAATCTTTTGAGGTCATTATGAAAATGGTTGAGGATAGACATTTGACAGCTTGTAAACTCCTGCCAAATGTTATAGCATCATATATTAACCATCCACTCCATTTACATCTTTCCCTTTGTATTTCTACCACTAGGACGAGATGCCGATAAATCAGAGTCCATGTAAACAAACAAAGGTGTAAAAGCTCTACAACAGCTTATCTAACAAATATTTTATGCGCTGAACAGGTTATAAGTGCTGGTGTAGTCAATAATTTGCATTCCTTAACATGTCTCTAACTGAACGTTATACAGATTCTTGTCCTATTAAGAAACACTTCATTTAATTTCAGTTAAGATTAGGGGAAACTTTTTAAAACATGTGCTGAGAATTCCATATTATACCAAACATATAATATCGAACCAAGTCATTATTAAGAATAGTAATAATAATAATAATAATACAGCGATCCTATTCATATCCTTTAATGTGTTGGTCAGGTACATGTGTCCATATATATATACTTACTATCTGCCCTATCTTTTATTTATCAAAGTCCGAGGCTAAGAATCAGATTATCGATATAGTAAAATGAGAAAAGGGAAAGAAAAGAAGATCTGGAAGTCTATTTCATTTCTTTATTTTATCATAACACAACCTTCAGAAGACAAAACTGAAATTACCAACATCTAAATGACGTCAATTTTCTGATAAAATAGAAATATATATACACTTTTTATCATAAATATTTTATAATAAGGGAAAGTAGATCCGTATTATGAATACATTCAATTTACTTCCCATTGTTTCAATACAGAAGGAATAATATTTATGGTAGATTAATATGAATTCATGTATTTCCTGATGATTCTAGATGATTACAATCTAAAAACAAGGCTACTAATCGTCAAGGAAACAACACAGATACACATACTCTACGTCTGAATGGTGTTGAATAAAGTTGGATTTGATACTTAATTTAGTGAATAATCAATGATTGCTGAAGAAACATTCAAACATTAATTTATTTGTAAGCTAAATATGTAAATATTCTAAGAGGAAAAAACTGTGAATAGCATAGAAGTCCTAAGGGGGAAACAGTAATGTTATCACTTCTTATCCACAATATTAAATATATTCCCCCAAAAAGAAGTTTTACATTGGTTTTCAGGAGAACTGGACACCATTCAGGTATATTACAACTACATAAGTACTGGATACCCAAATAGATCAGTTAAATCTTTCATTTCTAGAAATTCTGCTTCCATACTCTTCTCGATTTTATGGAATATTTACATGTTTAATTTACAAATAAATTAATGTTTGAATGTTTCTTCAGCAATCATTGATTATTCACTAAATTAAGTATCAAATCCAACTTTATTCAACACCATTCAGACTTAGAGTATGTGTATCTGTGTTGTTTCCTTGACGATTAGTAGCCTTGTTTTTAGATTTTAATCATCTAGAATCATCAGGAAATACATGAATTCATATTATCCTACTACAAATATTGTTGCTTCTATATTATTGGGGAGAACCGTATGAACTAGTTACCTTGAGTTAGTTAATAGGCAACTTTATTCATAAGCTGTATAACATTGGAATTGTCGTTGTATTTTTTTTTCTGAGTAGAAGTGACAAAATTCTAAAGAGGAAATTACTGAAGGAAATAGAATCAACAATCGAATGACAATAAGTATTGCTTTTTCTCTATGAATGTAGTGATTACACAGGTCTTTTGATATATATATATATATATATATACATATTACTATCACAGGGTTTCAATTATTTGTGTACAAAAAATAGACTTTTGTTCGTTTTTATCTACTAATACATTCGATGTTGATCCCGATGGTGTTATAAACCAGTTTTCATTATTTGAAATGAAATGTTTTCCATCATTATCACTTGTTGATATGCCGGGTATGGATACAGTTGAGTTTTTTTCAATAGTATTAATGGGCGAATTATTTGGTGTTATTGGTAATTGAACTGTTACTTCATTTGTATTTAGTTTATTTGTTACAATTTGTATCATTCTATTATCATTGATTTGGGGATTGTCGTCTGTAGTATTATTGTTGTTTTCATTTTCATTATCAACAGGATGCATAGAAGTATATGACTTTTGTTCAAATTCTTTAAGTAAAGGACTTTTTATTTCGAAATAAGAACTGGGATTGTTACTCTGTAATCGATTATTATTACTACTATCCATTTGAGTATATTCTGGTATATGATGTCTGAAATGAATAAGACTGGATTCTGTCAATGATATACTGATAGGTTTAATAAAATCATTATTATTTAATTCATCATTATGTGAATCCAATGAAGTTAACTGGATTGAATTATTGCTTTCTAGTATACTATTCTGGCGAATCCCATCATTTATATTATTACTATTATTATTAGAGTCAATGTTATTATTAAGTGTAGGTGTATTAGCGATATTATTAGTAGTAGTTATTATTGTTGTTGTATTTGTTGTACTACTTGTAGTAGTAGTAGTGTCATCTTTAAATGAAACAGTCCTTTTACTTTCCATGATTGGGTTAGGAAGAATAGTTTCTGAGGTCTTTTGAATTTTTATATTATTCATAGTTGATTCATTATTGTTGTTATTACTATGATTAATATCATTTGTAATGTCAGTATTATTACTATAAGTAACAGGTTTTGTGATAGAATTTAGCATGTTATGTTTTTCAATTATTATTGTATTATCAGTTTCAATATTTTTCAGTGTATTCTCCCAATCTTCTAATTGTTGTTTAGATATATTCATTTCATTATCCTCTTTAACTTCAGAAGGAATATTCAATTTGATATTCTTATCTTTCATTTTTCCTAACTTATCTGATGTTGATGATGATGATGATTTATAACAAGTGGATAATGATAATGGTGAAGATGATATCATTTTATTATAATTACAAGGTTCCTGTTTTCGAATGGATGTTTTCTTTGATGAATTAGAACGACAATGATAATGAATATGTTGATTTTGAACATGTTCATGTGGTAAATGATGATGATGATGATGCTGATGATGTGAATGTGGATGTGGATGATGATGATGTTGTTGATAGTAATGATGATGGTGATGATGATGATGATGGTGATGTTGATAATGAGGGTGTGAATAATGACAGAAATGAGGTACTTTATTAGAGTTTAATAAATTATTTTCTTCATCATCATCATCATTATCATCATCATGAATATCACCGACTTTTTTATGTCCAATTAATAATAATTCACCTTTTTGATTGAAATACATTTTTCTTTCAGACTGTTTTATTTTATAGGCACGTGATTTCAAAATAGAAAATATCATAATAGATAGAAGTAATGCTATAACAATCCCTATTAAACTACATAAAACTGCTGTCCAATGTAAAAATCGAGTGAATGTTACTTGACATTTCATTTCAGCAACATATTCATTATCGAGTTTTGGAATATTAATTGATGATTGTTGTCGATGAGATCGACTTAGAAATGAGATATTTTGATAAGATATCATTGGATTATTGATTTTCTGTTTATAATGTAAATTATCAGACATATTATTTATGATATTAGTTTTGTTCTGATGATGAATAGATGATTTAAATGTTGGTGTTAATGTCGCTATTGTTCCATTACTTTGAATATACAATGATGGTGATGATGATGATGATGATGACGATGATATTGAAGAACTAACAAATCTTTTACGAGTAACACGAAAACATATTAAGTACTTTGTATCAGGATGAAGATTAGTTAAATCAAATTCTTTAATTTGATAGTCTTGTATTATTTCTTGACCGATTAGATCAACATCCAGATCATTATAATATAGGATCTAATGGATAAAGAAAAAGAAAGGTGAGGGAAATGAAGCTTCTTTTATGTATTTAAAGCAAATTATTTCTATTTGTAAAGATTTGAATCCCTTCGTTATCTACATCAATATTGAAAACGACGAAGTTTAAATTTCTATAAATTTATCTCCGCGTTGCACAAGCTAGTAGTTAGCTAAGATCAGTAATTTGGAGTACATAATGCGTAGGATGCTTGAAGTAATACACCCAGTTGTCAAATTCCGAATTGAACAAAACGCACCTCGTGGATTCAACTTTACTTAAAGCAAAATAGTTTACTAAATTACAAGAACTATATATGACTGACAATCAGTATAACTTTACTTTTTATGTAACATTAACTTCTGTTACCAAAATAAGTGAAGTTGTCGATGGGTTCGACTGCTTCACTCCCTAGCCTTAGTTCAGTTGTTGAGGCAGGCCAGTCCTGAAGCAAAAACTTGTATTTAGAGGGGGAGAAAAGCATTCCAAACATCCTAGCATTGTTTGTCAGTGCTTTTAAAAGACTGCATTTTATCAGCGTCTTCAGCAAACAGGACTATATCATCTGCGTATTCTAAGTTCACAAGTGAACCTCCTGGTAGGAAATCAATACCCGAAAATTCAGTCGATGAGAGCGTTATTTCCATCAGTATGTCTATGATGAAGTTAAACAAAAATGGAGAAAGTGGACAGCCTTGACGGATACCACTTGAGGTTGCAAAAGCAGATTGTATACCTTTCATACTCTATTAATAAATTGCTGTTTATACAAAATTTGAGAATGTTAGCAGTTGAACAATCTTGAATTCTATTAGTATTCTGAAACTTATTTCATTTTTATTATAACTGAAAATTGTGTGACGTTATTTTGTTGAAAAAGTTGAAGTAATCTATGAATGAAGCATCGGATGACAAGTAATCATGATATTCCAAGATGAAAAAAAGCGACAGGCAAATGTTCAATGTAACTTCAAGACCTACCATCCCTTAGTATTCACAAAGTTAACAAACTATGAATCCATAAATTGTTTACGTGTTCATGGTCTAGTTTTGACATGTTTAATGAAAAAAAATCACTGAAATTATTTAATGCAAAATAAGTAAGAAACTTAAGAATACAGACGCTCTCAGACGAGTGAGTGACTTCTCAAATGCTTAAATGAAAATAGAAAACATATTGAATGAGTTGAATAAACGTGTTAGATTTGATTTTTAAAATACTTTCATAGGTTCAATTCATAGTGGAGTCGTGGATGAAAGCTGGCATTAAGGAGTTTTAGACTATGTTGAAATAGCTGTTAAATACTTCCTGCTTTCCAATCATTGTCTAACTAAGGTCAGCTCTTTATGATGTAACAGTTTTTACAGAGAGTTTTATAGAAGCAAGTTGAGATCTGATGATTTCAAGCATCTATATAATGCGAGGTAAAAAAGATTCAATTTCAAAAGGAAAAAATGCCTCTGGGTTACAGTAGTTCTCTATCTAATGTAGAATCATCATGAAAATTCCTGTTAAATACTAACGTTATACTTGGCGGCTTGTTTGAATATCTGGGATACCTGTTCCTCCGATCTAGATATTTCATCAAGTTATCTGTTTTGTTGTTTGTTTTAGCACATCATTATGTCTATTGTGCACACAATTTATTCAGACGCGTTTATGAAAAGTTTACAACCTTTCGCTATACGTGATACAAAAAGGTACAATCAGCGACATCATGGTGGCTGGCAATATGCATTGAAACGAATGAACATTAATCAAATGTAGATTACCGAACTCCTAACATCTAACCGGTCATCATTCAAAATTTATCGTCACAATAGATCAAGGTATAAGAAAAGGAAACTTGTTGAAATACTTTTTGCTGAGAATTCTATGTTGTACCAAAAATATGATGTTGAATAAAGCTTCTAACAGTAAAAAAAAATATAGTGTATCAAAGTAAGAAAAACTAATAGTAGTACAGAATGGACAAAGTACTTCATTTGCATGACGTTGAACGTTGTTATCTACAAGGTTATCAATGTTCACTAAGTAGGTTGTGTGCCATATCTAGTGATTCCAAACATTTTCCGTTTTATTTAGTAGGTAATTACTGAACGGTAGATCGTAACTATTAACTAAGATTTTTATTTTACACCCCAACAATAGATTTATTAAATAATGAAAACATTACACATCAGAACACATAGCTTAATACTGTAGGTAGGTAAATTCAATTCATTATAAAAGCTTTCATGATTTCATTTGATAGTAAATCATACGAAATTTAGTCTTTCAGTGTGGAAAAGAAAAACAAAGTTTACATAATTAATAAATCCATCATTTATATCAAAGCTTTTATTCAATTCTAAGCAGGTCGTAATCATCGAGGAATTAAATGAGGAAATCTATGTTAGTGAACAGAATAATCACAACAAATTAGTAAAGAAAAATTATTGATTGATGACGACAGGTGATTAAGAAGTGTTGTTAATTTATCAGTAACTAATAATGTGACAGAAAATTCCGAAAGTTTCTATACAGGGAATCAGAAACACTATTATTTTTAATAGAATTTTTTGGGATAGAAATCGACCTATTATAAACAACTGAACACAATAATTAGTATCGGCTTTGTGGAGATTATTAAGTTTTTGATTGAGTTCATGAACCGATTGATGTTAGACCACCGTTGGAAACCTGGAAGCACTGAACGGCCGTTTCGTCCTATCGTAGGACTCCTCAGTAGTGCGCATCCAAGATCCCGCTCGCGGGATTCGAACCCAGGGTCTTCAGTCTCGCGCGCGAATGCCTAACCTACTGAACCACTGAGCACTGCTGAGGAGTCTCACAACAGGACGAAACGGCCATCCAGTGCTTTCAGGTTTCCAACGGTGGTCTAACATCAATCGGTTCATGATCTCAATCAAAAACAATGTTATTAATCTATCAATTTTTATCAAATCACTTTTATGGAAAGTGTTTTAGTGATCAAAGTAGTCAAGATATACACATTGTCAATCTGTCAATTTGAAAATAAACAAGATTTATTATATGTGTATCACTTCGACTGGTTTCGAGCAGTGTCATCCAACCGCTGGTTACGATATTCGTCCAAACCCAGACCAGATAGTTCGCACTTATCAACATGGCTCAACCCAGTAGTCAGTGACTTCGTGAACTGACACTAAGTGGTGATTTGGCCAGCCTAACATTTTCCCAACCTATTCCCATACTCGCCAGCATCGTGCTTTTAGGTTGATGGTTATTTAGTACAAGCAATACAATTCTGAATTATATCAGTCGATGTGGATCCACAGGCTTATCGAGTCTGCCATATTTTCCTAGATTTGTATTTATATCCGGCATTTCTCAATGAGTGACCTCAACATACAGCAGGAATGATTTGAAGACAGCTGAGACGGTTACAACACTGTTTCATACTATTTGCTTTCAGATAATAGATAGTATCGTTAATCGTAACATTAATAATATGTGGTCAACTACATGAACGTTTGATAGAATTCTCTTTTTCAAAAAATACCAATACACGTAAAAACTATACAAAAAATACTTACTTTGGCCTGCTGAAGTAGATTTTGTGCAACTTCCATAGAACTCCAATCCCATGTTGCTTTTAATCGTCGATTGTCTGAATATCCAGGCAAAACTTTGAAATAAGACAATAAACTATATCCATCATCTGCTTTTTCACTCAGATTTTTTGATTTGATTGGCATTTGTATGACTGAATAATAATTATAGAGTAAACCGTTTTGCTGATGATGGAAATTCAATTATAATTCATGATATGGTTTCTGTTTCCTTTTTCATCCTACAATCGGCAATAACTCTGTGCAATGTAAAGTAGAAATAAGTGATTGCTGTTAGGGGTTTTTGGAAACTATTGAATTTACTAGTTTACACTATGCACTAATCTTCATTAAACAACCACTGAATAAAAGAAAGTACTGGATAGCTGTCTCTTTCGGATATGAAACTCCCTAGCAGAGTGGATCAAGTGGTCAAAAGATTTGGCACTCGCAGGGGAACTTGAATGTCTTGGGTTCGATCTTCCGTTATAGATCCCAAAGACTGAAGTGTTCCATACTAGAAAGGAATACTTGTCCAGTGTTTCCACGTTTTTGCAATGGTCATTTAACTAAGAGCAGTCCATGATGTAAACTTTAGAAATAAATGAGCTGAATATTAAGAATTTTTCTAATTTATGAAAGCAAACATTTCCCAATCTTCTTACTATTTTATGGGTCAGGTTGTTATCGTTCTTGAATTCATCGAGGAATATGATAAAAAATATTCTAGTTTTGATGTATAGATTCTGTTTTGTAGAATATTCGACTAGACTGAATACTGAATATTGTTTATTTTCATTATCACTAATTAAGAAACTAAAACAACATTGGATAATATTCATTGTGATCCCCTCCTTCTTTGTTTTGAATGATGCTTTGATGATTCTGGATCCGTGAGATTCCCATCCTACAAGTGCATTTCGTGCTACTTTGGACAGCATTAGAGCAACTCTCTGAGTGTGTGGAGCAATTTCCTCTTCGTGACCGGAGTATAGTAGCATCTCTCCCGTATATAGCCTTTGTTGTCCAGCTTGGGACCAATGGGTTTCTCTGATTCCCAGTACTGCCTAGTTGTATCTCCTCATTTCCGTTGCTATTTGACTGGTCTTCCCGGTCTCCCACATTGTTTGGACGTTCCATGTACCTGTAAAAATTGTTGCTCTGTTTGTTAGAAGGGGCATCGGCTTCGTGACTTCCGAAAGAACTCAGCTTTCACCATGAAGCGTCATAATTCTTCTAAATGAAGACCTTCTAACTCCCAGAGGAGAGTTTAAATGGTTTGAATTATTTTTTCTGGTTAGCGTTTTTTTAGTGAGTTAGTTTTCTACAGGATGGGGTCGCTAACCCGATGCATAACCTTCCTCGTTTACCCGGGCTTGGGACCGGCAGTAACTCTAGAAGAGCTACAGGCGGAGTTTTTCTATTAACTAATCAACAGTTTTTATCGCTTGATCACTGAGCAATGAATAATATCATATTTATCTAGCTTTTTGATTCTGAATGAATTCTGTCAATCAAGTTGTAATCTGATCATTACTCTAAGCGATTCAAAATCACAACCGCTATATTTTGATATTACAAGGTTGAAGGTAGTCTTTAGGAAACTCAGGAACTTGGTTCCGTGCTGGTTGTCATTCATCAGCAAACAAAATTTACAAATATGCTTGATGCATGTTTGAATTCCACAGAGTACATCCGTTCCCTCAAGATTGCAGACACGCCTTATTGATGAATGTCAACGAACACAGAGTTTATGTCCTGAATTTTTTCCTGATTACCCCCGACCACTTAACATTAATTTACTCATTTAACTGAACTGTATCAAACACGTTTACAATGTTCCCACAAACTTCAGTGAAATGATATTTTAATATACTGTAGATAAATTTAAACCGTTGAAAGTATTGCGCAAGAAGTGATGAACTATGATACACTAGGTAATTATGACAGTGACAGACTATCTGTGGTCTAGGATTACATATACTCAAATTCATATGGGAGCACTACATTTTGGTGCCAGTAATCCTGGAAAAGGGAACACTAATTTTACTGTGGTTACAGATGCACTTTACAGTTGAATAGAACATGCCTTCTTACAAGTAATGGAAGACGTTAGTAAATGTCTGACCTAAAAATAGTACACCTCACCTTGTTCTACGGCTGTCCATTCCGCGTGCTAAGAATTTCAAAGTACGAAGCCAACACATCACCATGTACTTAGAAAACGATTATCTTTAACTGGTCTGTAATAATTGTTCCTTAGGCTTTCTTATCAGGCTCACATGTTGCCAAGACCACTAGTGAAGTTTCCTTTCAATAATATAGGCAATCATGTATCAGCAACCGCCCTCATACCTCTAATAGAATTACAGGGAAACCTAGTTACAGATCAGTTTCATCAAGGTTTTTCAGGATAACAACAAAGAAAATATGTTTGTGCAAACCACTCCAGGAGTTCTCAAGTCTTTATATAATAACAAAATAATATTTTTTTTGTTGAAAAAATGATCATTCTGAGGATGGGAGAAAACTTTATTACAAAGTTCTAGCCATAGTTTAGCATTCATTGAGAGTTGAAATAAATTTGATTAGAAAAACGCATTATCCGCTTATGTTAACTGAAATAATTTGGACATACTTAAAAATGAAATGAAATTAGGCTAGTAAAGTTTGATGAATCTTTGACAATTTCCCTACCTCTATAAAAAAATTAGATTATTCTCTTAAAATATTTTAATTTATATTTTTATTGCTCAAAATCTTTTTTTCCCATTTAATAAGTTTTATCCTCTTTCTACCATCTCCTTACTTATTCACTTCCTAAAATGAAAACAAAATCTTGATCAACTAAAGAAAATGAGAATAAACATTTCTTTCTCTAAGATTATTCTCAGTTATTTTGGGTATAAACTAGAGTTTTAATCGATACTTCAATATAGTAGAATGAGGGTCATTGATAAATTAGACTTGGATGGTATGCAGGAAAAAAATGACAGACAGCAATCCAGGTTATTTCATTGGTTATTCAGTTAAAGTATCTACCCATGTATCTTAATCAACCATATAAATAATTTCACGTCAATCATTTTAATGAAACGGATTATTATTGTATACCTGAATAATTTTAGGATTATAGAAAAGAAATGTTGGGTAATTGAGGAAATATAGATAGATAAGTAGAATTTATTCAGGAATAAAGTTTGATAAATAGATAGCCGTTATGTGTATGTTTGTGAAATTTAATCTTTTAAGTATGCGCTGCATGATATAGGAGGAAATAATCCATTTTGTGTTTTAAAGTTTGAAACTAAATATCAGGATATTAGGGGATCAGAAACAGTCAGGGTTCAGCTTGGAAATTAGCTGGATATCGACATAGTCAGCACTTTCTAGTAAGTATATAATGCCATCTGGTTGGTAAGCTCCGAGCAACATTTAATGATTAGACAAATTCCACACTGAATACTACTCAGTGATCAATCAATATGAACAGCACAGTCTTACAAGAGGTCATTAATTCCCATAGTAGTGTAGAGGTCACAGTTATGTGATATGTGACTTGGATTCGAGCCACGTGTGGGTCATAAGTTCCCACAAGACCACAAATCGACGTTGCAGTGGAACCACCTGCTTCGTACACCCCTAGTTAGAGGTCATGGGTTGGATACAAAACATGCGTTGTTGAAGAATTCTAAACTAAAATGAAATGACAGTCCAGTGCTTCTTAGCTAGTTAGTCAATGTCAATTCAAGATGAATATTACTTCCGTTTAGTAATAAGTAGTATAGGTGAACAGAGTACCACCTTTTGATTAATTACCATATGAATTCTATGGTAAACTGGGATTGTTTGATTAAAGTTAATATTTCCGATCAACATAACTACATATTGTTTATGGATTTTAATTTTTGGATTACATTCAAAAGCTAGGAAGCAAGTGTAATACAATAAATTCATATTATATTTCATGTATTGTTATAATTTATAGGTTGATTTCAGTATTTCATATTATTGAACTCAGTAATTTAATTCTGCTCAAACTAATAGCTTTAATATGTCCTTACCAGGTTGAATGATAAACTGATATTAGTTAGATAACTTTTGGAAACCAGGAAGCACTGGACATCTATTTCGTCCTAGTATATGACTCCTATAGTGGATTGGTCAAAGCTAGACATTAACACCGTTTGATGCTGTCTCAGTGGTCTGGAGGTTAAGTGTTCGCGTACGGGAACAAATATGCTGGGTTCCATTCTCAAATGTGGGATTGTGGATGTGCATGGCGAGAAGTCCTACAACAGGAGGAAACGGCCGTCTAATGCTCCCACGTTTTCAATAGTGGTCTAACATTGATCGATTCATGATTGCAATGAAATTCATCCAGAATGCTATACTGATCGTTTTCAAATATTTTTTTCATTCTAGGTCATCATTTTTATGATAAATCTGTTGTTTAAGCAACATTTATAAGCTTTGCCACACTATGTATGCCCGTAACAGGGTTGTATTTCATAGAGACAGTTGTAAGCCGGAAATCTTGCAGGTTATGGGAAATTTAAGAACTTACGGATGAAATAAAAGTTCACTGTAGATTTCATTTAAAAATGTTTTATTTGCTTGCGATATAGATCTTTCTGTTTATTGTTTGTTGGTTTTCATTTGCATAAACGGATAATAGTTTTTCATGATTAACTATATATATTCAAACATTATCCAATTCTCATTGATTTTCCCTAAATATTGATTACTGATACCAGTAGAACGTAGAAAACCTAATTCTAGGTTATTCATATTGATTTTCAATTCATAAATTCACACTAGTCATTTGCCTCGTATTAACAATTTGAACACTAACTAAAAACGGAATTCTCCTATTTAAAATGACTTAGTGTATATTATATTAAAATCAATATCACTATGAGAACACTAAGAATTATTACATTGGTTCAATAAAAAGTATCTATGATTTTACAGAGAGACAAAAAATTCTATAAATTAATGAAACCAAGAAAAATAAATTGTCATTTACATGTTTGTCTATTTTTTAATGATTATTCAATAATAAGTGATTTGAGAATACTTCTGAATCAGGAACTTGAAAAGGAAATTGGATTAATGTTGGTCTTAACGACCTGGGAGCGTGACCGCAGAGCCCAAGGGACAACTGCTTGAGGCCGGTCGAGCACGACATTTTCGTGGAAGGTTTTTAACGTGTTAGCTCCGTTCTTCAAAGGGCCCTACTGCCAGAGACGGAAATCCG